GGTCAAAATAGAATTCTAAGGGGTAGTTTGAAGAGGCAACCACAAGAAGAGAGGGCCCACGCTGGGACAGTGATATATTGAGGCAGACTGGATTTGTTTTCAGAAAGATGCCCCTAAGCCTCTGCAAATACACTCTCCAACAACACCAGGACATAGGGAACTGGGTTACTGGGCTCCTCATTGTTATTTGAATGAATATCTCATGGGGGTCAGCTCAGAAAAACCACCACAAAAAGGCACGCTGACATCAGCTCACCTACCCTCTCCAACCCACAAAGACTCCTGAACGCATCACCTCCATTCTTGCATAGTCTTCTAGTACAGGGCTCATAGAACAGTTGGTCTTCTAAATTGTAAGTCCTACAATCAATATTCGGATCTTGAAGGAACTACTCTTACAGAAAACATATATGCTACAAAGAGCTAGATTCAGAGAAATGGAAAGCCCAATCCTGTTTTGACTGCCTCTGGAAGTGCTGGGATAGTTTCATCACCTCACTGAGTCTCAGCTTCTATACCTAGAACATGGTAAAAATTCCCCTCCCTATAACCACAATGCTTTTGGCAAGTGCTGGGCTCATAGTGGGCACCCATGGTCATTGCTGTCATCACTCTACTCCAGGGGACTGGGAGAAGTTGTCTCTGACAATCTGCTTACAATTAAAAATGTTTAGAGAACTGAAAGGAGCAGTTTTAAAAATACACAGATGCTGGGACCAGCAGGTGGCATGGTGGTTAAGGCGCTGGACACTCCACATGGCCAATCACAGTTTGAGTCCCAGACCTGGCGGCTTGCTTTCTTGCTCCCCCACCTCCGTCGCCCCCCCATCAAATTAAAATAAATAAATGAATCAATAAAATTAAATAAATAATTCTTTTAAAAATACACAGATGCTTCTTGACTTACAATGGGGGTTACATCCCAATAAACTCATCATAGGTTGGATCTCTTGGTTTGCAGACCAATGCCAGCAAAGATGGATAGAAGGCAGATGAGGACAGAGACCAGGAGCATAGAGCAGAGGTATAAAGAGTAAGAGCAACTTCCGGCTGTGTAGGCAGCCTCATTGGCTATGACAGAAGAGGACATAGGGACTAATAAAACACACACACATACACACAAGCAGATGATGGGAAGCAGACTCAGGTCAGTGGGTGTATTCCATAAGAAACATGTCCCAAAAGAATTCATCCATAAATGGTGAGTTTTATTTTATAATACCCATGGCTCATCCCTTAAGACTCAACTTAAGAGCCACTGCCTCCATCAAACCTCCATCAAACTGCCTCTGCCAAACCTTTTCAAATGCCTTCTTCTCCTCTTACCAGAAACCCCTTTCTCTAAGCTGGCTTCTGAGGTTTCATTCACCTTCCTGTCCTTCCTATGTTGGAAGTTGCCCATGTCTGTGCCTGAGCCAATGGGAAATTCATGAGGACGGGCATGTCTCACTTACTTTCTGGGATGCACCCTATACACATCGGGTGTCTCCCCCTATGCCTGGCCTTGTGATGAGGGCACAGACACCCTTTAGTCTGGTTGGGAACACTGACCAGGCTGGCTAGACAGCTCCCTCCATGTTACAGCCGAGGATGCTTCCAGGGAAGCCCCCTCACCAAGCTGAGCCCGAGAAGAAGGGATTCTCAGAACCCTAGGAACCATGACAAGAGCAGCAAAGACACACGTAATGGTCACACTCCACCCTAAAATCAAGTTGCAGAACTTCAGTCTGCAAGTTAGGAAGCAAGAAAGAATCCCACATGCTCAGGTGCAATAGTAATATCTCTCCTACATTCCTCGACAGCAACTGGGCTGGAGGGGAGTCAGCTCAATCAGGACAGAACAGCCACCATTTTCCTGTTCAATTAGACTCCATAGGCTCAAACCGGACCCAGAAAATCGAGGCAGAACACCTGCTCCTTCTATGTCTTGGTGGTTACTCATAATCTCTGTGTGAACCCGCTTCAGTGTTTAGTGAGGGCTGGCAACCCCTCAGTCACCTGCCACCCATCTAGTGTCCCTGACCTCACTATCCTTCCTCCTTACTCCTGGCTGCACACAGGCTCTTCAGAGCCCAAGGCTTTCACAAATATCACAGGATTGAAGGAAGAGCCCACCCTGCGCCCCACTGCATGATGCATGAGCACATGGAAAGAGCCAGTTCTAGAAGCCCCCAGCCCAGCACCACCATGCGTCATGTTCAGGGGCACTTCATTCTAAAGCCACATTGTGATGATCCAAGTCTCCAGTAAGTGCTCCAGAACAGGAAACCTTCAACTGACTTCTGCTGAATAAGGGGGCCTCTCAACTTCCTGCTCCTCCCTTTACCTCCTACAACACAAGGAGGCTGCCAATTGTCAGGGTGCCCACTACCCACCAGTTAGCAAGGGCAGAAGGCAGGGAGCAGCAGAGACCAGAGGGTGCATTGGCAGGTGAAGGTGCAGGAGGAAAATCTGAAGATAGTGCCCACCTGCCCTGTTCAGTGAGATTGCTGAGAAAACTTATTGGAGGAGACCTGTCCTGCAAGTGGGCAAGGCCACCTTCCTTTGTGTGTGCAGAGCCAACAGCCTCAGGGGGGTTCCCCATCATGGCTCTAATCCCTGGGCCCCAGAGCTGGGGAGACAGAGCCAGCAGGAGTCTGCCTGCCCCAGGCTCTGGCCCCCATCCCCACCCCACCCCACCCCACAGCCTAGGTTCCCCCAGTAATGCGATAATTGGGTGGGATTTGCGCTGAGAGAGAGGGAAAGTCCAAAGGAGGACAAGCCAGCTCCCTTCCCTCCCTCCAACCCCACCCCTTCTCATTCCTGAACTCTTCCCTCCTTCCCTCTGAGGATGGGGGACATGCAGTGACTCAGGGGAAGGGAGTAGACTGGGCTGGGCATGTGTAGACTGAACTGGATCCCAACCGTGGTGTGGAGGGAAGGGAACTTTTCTTGAAAAAGAAGGGTTCATTCTGCATTTGGGAACGTGACCCCCAGTGCCTGGGTCTCCAGGACTGCAGCATCCCCAACCTCACAGCATCCTTTGCAGGTGGGGAAATCAAGGTAGTGGTGAGGGTGGCATGGAGTGAGATACAGCCTGCCCTGAAAAGCTGCGCAGAAGCAGTCACATGCCCATCCCTTGGCCTCTTCGCGGGCCCCCAACAAGCTGTAGGCCACACAGTGAGGCAAGGTTCAGGGCACTGGGTAGCAGACTGTCCGCACAAGAAGGGACCTCACTGATGAATTTGAATTTGTCATTTTCAGCTGCAGTTCTCCCCTAACTCCCTTTCCTCAATTCCAAAATGGTAACAAGAATTCCTGCAAACTTAAGTGACAGCATTAAGGGACCAGCAGTTAGCATAATGGCTATGTGGTTGGACTCCCATGTAATCAATCACGGTTTGCGTCCCGGACCCGGTGGCTTAAAACTCACGCCGGGCGCGTGTGCATGCGTGCCCAAGATCCCGAGAGGAGAATGGAGGAGAAAGGATTGCGGTGTGGCCATCCTCCCTGGGGGGTGATTTCTCGCTTTCTGTCTCTATGTCTCTCTCTGTCTGTCTTTCTGGCGAGCGCCTGCGCCCTATGGCAAAAAACTCTCAAAAAAAAAGTGATAGCATTAACATGTGAGGACCAGTAGGTAGAAAGGAGGGTGCCTCTTAACTGTTATTATCAGGTACAGGGAGAATCTGGGGACACTTTCCAGCTTGAGTATCCTACTCCCCAAATTGCAAAACTCCCCAACTCCCTGACCTACTGATAAATATGCAAAGAGCTCAGGAATTGGCCAGTCACTGTGCATGACCTTGCACAAATCACTATCCCTCTTTGGTCTTCCCTGGTCCACTAACAAACTTACAGGGCTTAGCTTCAGCCTCTGGCTGAAAAGGCTACACAGCCCGCGCCCCGGTCCGGGCAACCTGCGAGGTCGGCGATCGCAGAGCCAGGGCACAGAGCTGCAGTTTCAGCATCACCTCCTCCTTGCTTCCACACTTTCCCCATCAAACCCTCAAGGGCCTCTGCGATCCCTTCCCTGGTGGGGGGTGGGGCAGAAAATGAAGCGGTCAATCCCTGGGTCCCGACATATCGACTCTGGCCAACCGTGGCCTGAAAATGTGTGGCTACACCTTAGACACCTCTCAACAGCTTTCCTCAGGGCAGGCAGCGCCCATCCCGGCCTCTCTCCATCCTCCCTCCATCCTCCCAGTCGCGCCAGCAAACCAGATCCCAGCGGAGTGGGGCTGGCTGCGGGCAGACCTGCTCCCCAGGAACCCTCCTCCAGTAAACATTCTCCCCCCGCAAGGCGATGGATAAGTGGGAGTACAGTCACCTTGAAGACACGAGACTTGAGACAGAGCGCGACAGAACAAGGGCAGTTGCAAGAGAGGGACTGCGCGTCCTGCGGTGAGCGCACGACGTGCGGGGCTGGGAACCCAGCACAGGACGCAGCCCGAGTCCCGGCCGCCGCGGCCCGGGATCTCTGAGAGGGCACCTGCGCATCACAGTCTTGGGCTCTGGCCCGCCAGCTAGGCGCCAGCCCTTCTGGAGCAGCGTGGCCCTCGAAGCTCCCTCACCCGGCGCACTCCAGCATCCCGCCCACACCTGGACACCACAGCAGCCCCCACACACCCGCTCACTCCTCACACACTCGCGCACCACAGCACTCCGCGCATTCCAGCGCTCACACGCTCGCCCTAGTCATCCCTGGCACAAGCGGACACCCCAGCACTTTGCGCACACCGCAGCACCCCAGCACCTCAGCACCCCTCGTACATCCGCTCACCCTA